CCGGCCCGGAACACACATTTTCAAAGGAGAATAACTGACTGTAGCATTGTTTTTCAGATAAACAAGTATGTTAACTTAACATGTTTCTTAAATATCTGCAAACATATTATGGTATTTTTATGCTTTAGTAGAGTCAAAAACTTACATACAGCACCTTTAATATTCATAAAATGGCAGTAAGTTATTCATTGATTCTCCCAAATTTTTTATCTTGTAAATTTCTGAAATTTTCCAATTTTGTGAAATTGCACACACAACGAGTGTTTTATTCTGATTTTTGATTTTAAAAATATTTATTTCAATTTTAACATTTTTAAGATTTAATTATTTAATAGCTTTTTAATGATTCGCGAACCCCCTGCAGTACCTTCACGAACTCTGGTTTGGGAAACCCTGACATAATGTAATGTTTAATGCAATTCATGTTGTTGATAACAAGATTCTATTCAAATTAATTGGTAAATGAGTTAAGGGCATTTCACACTGAGCGTGATTAAGCGACGCAAATATACAACGTGAAAACGTTCTTGAATCAAAACAAAAGATCCCATTGGAGCTATTCACATTGGGTGCGATCAATCGTGATGCGACAAGACAAATTTTTTTTTCCCGACCACTGTTGATTTTTTTCCCCCCCATCGCCTCATGATGAAATGATCCATCCAATTAGATTTGAGCTTTAGATCACGTGCCGAGATTAAAATTAATCTTAGGAGGTTAAAAGTAATCAAAAAGTAGTTGGATTATATTACATAATATGTGTAATGTTATGGTCACGTTACTAACTACAACTTTCATCATGTAATTTGTATTCAAGAATGGACCACAATTTGTCAGTGTCTACTCAGCACTGTTTGTCTGTATTTTTTAACACTTTAATGCACAAAATGTGTTTGATTTTCAATCTTCAGGTTGTTCAAGCGGCTCTGGATGAGGCCCGTCAGGGACGCACGTGTATCGTCATTGCTCACAGGCTTTCCACCATTCAGACTGCTGACATCATCGCTGTGATGTCACAGGGCGTGGTCATCGAGAAAGGGACCCATGAGGAGCTCATGGCCAGGAAAGCAGCCTACTACAAACTTGTCACCACAGGGGCCCCTATTAGTTAAAAAATATATAGCGTTTGGACAAGCAGGTAGTCCCACCTCAAACTCACAGCATTACTTGAGCAATCGTTGGTTTGTCTGGCTTAGTTGGGCCGTTCAAACAGATTACATCTCATTACATTTGGTGATGGAATTACTTAACTATTGTTGAGGTGTTTTTTATTGATTTGTATTTATTGATAAGTGGATGTCTTGACAATATCCTCTATGGGTTTGAATTATACTAAGACAGTTCAGGTGTGGCTAGTCAACCTGGATGACCTGCACTCTAAAAAATGCTGGGTTGTTTCAACCCAACTTTGGGTCAAATATGGACTAACCCAACCGTTGGGTTAAATTTTTACATTACATTTTTAACCCAAAAGTTGGGTTAGTCCATATTTGACCCAAAGTTGGGTTGAAACAACCCAGCATTTTTTAGAGTGTGTATTTTGTTTGTTGTTTTCAAGAAATTGAGTGAAAATGTAGTGTATCAAAATGTGTAACATGCATACATTTGATTTGTACTAAAAGGTTGTAGAGATTCGACTTATTGTAGCAGCTGAAGACATGGTGTCCTTGAACTGTAGTGATAATAGTACAGGACTGATAACATGTTCATAATCACTGATACCTTTATGCTCAGTCATTGTTTAATGTAGTGCCATGTGTGATCTGGTTTTGATGTCTCACTTATTGTCACTCAAATGTTACAGATCAACAATTTGTATAAGTCCTTTAAAAACTATGTATAATTTAAACATATTTGTCACTATTAATTTTGTCTTCAATGACAAAAAATGTGTATTGTACTAATTTAGTTTAGTGATCAACAATTTGTATAAGTCCTTTAAAAACTGTATGTATAATTTCAACATATTTGTCACTATTAATTTTGTCTTCAATGACAAAAAATGTGTATATGGTTATGACCTTTGCCTAAATTGTGCTCATTTAGTTTAGCAACAATAGTATGGTATTAAGTTTCTTCTCGCTTGTTTATTTGTTCCACAGGCCTAAGGGGGCATAAAGTTGTTGTACAGGGATCTTTTTTTTAAATAAAAGTACTGGAAATATCAACTTAAAATGTTTGACATTACCTTTCTGAAAGAAAACAGCTTGAACCAGCCTACTAAGGTTTGTTGGTCTTGCAAGTTGGCACTCAGCTGGTTTAAGTTGTTAACTAATTAGTCTCCCAAGACTGACCAGCTCAAAACTGCCTAAATCACTGTAAAACTGGCCCACAGATCACCCTGACCAGGCTAGTGTTGGCTTGGTTTTTCTTTCAACAGGGTATCTGTAAAACAGTGGAAAGATCAAATGTAAACACTGATTTAGTTTAGCAACAATAGTATGGTATTAAGTTTCTTCTCGCTTGTTTATTTGTTCCACAGGCCTAAGGGGGCATAAAGTTGTTGTAAAGGGAATTTTTAACAAATAAAAGTACTGGAAATATCAACTTAAAATGTTTGACAGTACCTTTCTGAAACAAAACAGCTTGAACCAGCCTACTAAGGTTTGTTGGTCTTGCAAGTTGGCACTCAGCTGGTTTAAGTTGTTAACTAATTAGTCTCCCAAGACTGTCAAAACTGCCTAAATCACTGTAAAACTGGCCCACAGATCACCCTGACCAGGCTAGTGTTGGCTTGGTTTTTCTTTCAACAGGGTATCTGTAAAACAGTGGAAAGATCAAATGTAAACACTGCATTTTAGATGAGATTAGTTTAGTGGAAAGACCAGATGACCACAAAACAGCCTGATATGAAAATGTAAATGGCTGAATATTGTGTTTTAATTTTTATATACCTCATCAAAAACTAGCTTTAAAGAGTAAAACAAAAACACTCTACAGTACACTAATGCTGATGAAATCCCTGTATGGTGATCTGCATGATTATCTTGCACTGAAAATTACAGTCTTACTTACAATTCCAGTATTTAGTTAGGAAGATAACTCACAAAATAGTCTGGCTAAAATGCTCAATATTTGATATATATTCTTTTAACTCTTCAAAAACCACATTTGTATGCAACACACTCCCCTGTCCACCAGAAGGAGACATCGTACATACACGTTGATATTCCATGCATTCTGGTTTTATGGCAAATTTCACTGCTAGTAATCAACAGAACAATTCTGAACAGGTCATTCTTACTATTCGGTGGCATCTCAGCTTGGTAACTTTTCAATCAAAAAAAAGTTAACATTTCCATGATTTAATCATTTTATCTGAAGAAGGGCTACAAGACTACACTACAAGAAAAATATATTGTTCCAGCTCAGGATATTATTCTTTAATATAATTATTCTCGAAAATTCTTCACACATGCAAGGGCCAAATGTCCACCCTGTTACATTCTCATCTCAATAAGTGTTTTGAATGCACAGTTATTGTAATATTTATATTTTCTAAGAGCTAAAATGTCCCTCTCTTTACCTTGCAAATGTATTTTAACAAAATGTTCATAAACGGGCATTATCTTGAAAAAAGTAGTTGTATTTTAAGGCACAGTGCAATTTCAACACATTTCTTTTAGAATAATAAGAAATTTCAATGGAATTTTTGCCCCCTGTTTTAAATTATTTCATTTGATCATTTCCTTCCCTACAAGTAACCACAAAGATATGCATTACATTTGTTGAACTTATTTTATTAACATAAAAAAACAAAGAGGTAACACTTTAGACAGAGGGGAAACAGGGTGGACATCACACCACTGACATGAATATATGTCAACATATTGCCTATTACACACAAAGCATATTGTCACAATTTGTCAGAATTTACAATTACTACAACAGATAAGTGGTTCTGTATACAACACTTTCATCACATTAAATTGTTGTTCTTATACCTATTATTACAAGATCTCATTTGTTATACTATCCCTTTATTTGGCTACTATATGTTTATCATTGTATTTCACAATTTAAAGTTTATAGTTTTAGAGAATATATATTATTTCTCTCTCTCTCTCTCTCTCTCTCTCTC